TTTTATGTGATTGGACAAGGTTATGTAGTAAAGTAATTCCCCATTTACCTATTTACCTGAATGTCTTCCATTTTTCTGGAAACTTAAGGATTCATAACTCAGACAAAATATCTAAAAACAACTAGTGAATATTAGTAGCTAGGGTTGTTCACATGATATAATTTTATTGACTGAGGAGCCCAAAGGAAGGAAAAAGAAGTTTAAAAACAAACAACAAAAAATAAGAAAAGAAGGAGGGGGAAGTAAAAGAAGAAGAAAGAGGTGTATGTCAAATGACAAGGTTGAAAGCATCAGAAGTCCAAGTTAGAAGAAGTGAACAACAGACCCTCAGAAGGTTCCAAAAGGAAATAGATCCAGACACAATGAGATGCAAGAGACACCAAACATGGCAGCTTAGTAGTTGGCATGGTTCAGTGGAAGAGAAAACTATGTCCCACTCACGTCAGTGATTCCAGTGGCTTTATTTATGCACAGTTTCTGGAATTCTGAGATGACACTTTTATCATCTTCATATCCCCAAGACTTGGATGTATTAACTATTGTCACATAACAGACCAACCCCAAATAACATCTGTTTACTGTTTCTCATGAGTTTGTAGGCTGGCTGGGTGGTTCTACTGGTTTGGGAAAAGCTTGGCTGGTCTTAGATGCAAGCTCACGCATCAGCTGTCAGCTAGTACGGTGGACAAGATGACTCAACTCTCTGTGAGTCTCCCCCACCACCAGCAGGCCAGCCTGTACTCGTTCTCATGGCAGTGGCAGAGATCCAAGGGAAGAAACAAAAATGCACCTCTGCTTTGACAAGTTTGCTGCCATCCCGGTGGTGGAAGCAAATTACATGACCAAGCCCAAAGTCAGTGCAGCAGGGTGTTACCAAAGGGCAGGGATAGAGGAAGGCATGACAAATTGGGGCCATTAATGCAACCCATCTGTCATACTGGCATGGCCTAAAACTATAATTACAGATAATTAAAAAAATAATATATTACTAGTTAAAAACTATTGGATTGGCCAAAAATATCATTCAGGGTTTTCTGCAACATCTTATGGAAAACCTGAACAAACTTTTTGGCCAATCCAATATTTGAACATATAGAGGACTACAGTGGGCTCCTAATAAATATTTGATCGATGAATAAAGTTAGTTCAATGCTGAGAATATGTTCACTACAACCATTCGTGTGTCAGTCAAGGTATATAAGAATTCATAATTTAGTCTTATAGTCTATAGGGTTCAATATGCTGCATTATGAGCACCACTTTCTAACACAAACACCAAGTTTTTTCTACAGAGAAGAAAAAGATAAAGTTTAAAAGCTGTGTGTGAGAAAATTAAGCATATATATTGCTTGAAAAGGGTAAACAATAAGTATTTTGAGTGACAAGTATAACATTTCCGCATTCAAGTTATATAAGTTTAGAAACAATCAAGGGTCAAATTCTTTTATCTCTCTTGTTATGTTTTAAATACATTCGACTCACCTAAAGCTATTGGGTCACGGTGTGACTGATTAGGTATACAATATTAAACTGCCCTCCTTTGGAAAAGTTTTCCAAATTTTATCTTGGTGGAGACTTTAAGGGGTCTCAAAAATGTCCAGGATGAAGTAGCTTGGGGACTGTCCCTTGCCCCAAATTTCCAAGGAAGTATCATGAGGACAGGAGAGGAAGAGGCATTGCTTCATTAATCGAGTAAAGTGCTGCCACCTATTTTTTCTTTTAATGTAAAAGCAATGATACTGCTATTTTTAATCATCTCCCCGCTCCCTTCCTAACATTTTTGCATTATTCTAACCTATGGAGCAGAACGCTTTTCATGATATATTATTAAAGAAGATGGCTCATAAAAATTCATCCCAGAGGCACTACCCAGGATTTATTATGACATTAAAGTTGTGCTTGGGATTCTGTGAAATGCCAAGCATCAAGGGAAAGTTGTAGAGAAGAGTGGTCTTCTGCTAAACTTTCACATGTGATGATAAAGAGAAGCTATTGAGGGCTTGGAATGAGGCATCTCTAAGACAACCTCAGCACTGAAATAATTCAGGGTGTTCCCTCTTCACTCTCCATAATCACACTTAGTGTTGATGGAGCCACATTGCCTGTTAACTATGGTAAGAGTCCTACTGCTTTGAAAGGATGCTAACAATATGAACTGAGGAAAATTTTTTTCTTGAAATTGGGAAGGAAACTTACTTTAGCCTTTCATTGAAGGACATTGCACAAGGGGCCAGATAGTTACAAACCCTTCATTCACAGAAAACAACTTAAATGGTCACTGGGTAGTTACTGACTACCTGTTCTTTGCAAAGCGAATAAACAAAGCCTGAAAAGAAATTAGTCTGGGCTGGTGAAAAAGTCTATGCTTAAACAACTTTTAAAGTGTAAATGGATACATTCAGAAGGGTGGATGATTTCTTGCTTGGCGGAATGAGGGAAGTTTTGGAGGTGGCATTTTGGGAGGTTGCTTTTAAGAATTGATAGAACATCCTCATGTGACATGGCTAGGAAAGATGTGTGCTACGTGTGTGAACAGAGAATAGTGATAATCCAGACTGGCTAAGTGAGGGTGCAGTCTGGGGCCCAAGATGAATGCTGATATCAGTAATCTCAACATTATTCTTTAGGTAGTGGATTAGAACTCAGGCTTTACCAGCCAGATAGTAATATGATCAGAGCTGCTGTTTGGGAAAATTAAGCTAGGTGTAGAAGAGATTTGAGGGCCAAAGAAATTCAATTTTGGGTGTTGAAGAATGAGAAAAGTTGTAAGGGAGAAGGCAACTTCCAAGACAGGGTAGAATTCATGGGTTTTATAAACAGATTGAGTGTGGAAGCACACAAGGTTTAGCGCCTGTTATGGACTGTTAAACAGGGAGGACAGATGGAGGGAGGGCCTCTTTTTTTGATTAATTACATACAATATGCATGTGGGCCACTTGTTTAACCGAAAAGCTAAGAGGAAGAACCAGAGCTTAGGAGAAGTAAGAATTATGTTCAGAGAAGTAGAAATTGAAGGCATGTGACTGAATGAAACAGCTAAGGAAAATACACATAAAGAACATTCTTTGAACTGATGGTGAGAAATAGATTTCTTTCTGCTTTTGAAATGCTCTCCAGGAAGCTCACTGCTAAATTTCAAACCCAATCGTGTAAGTGTCCTTTAGTTTAGGTTTTCTGATATAAGGTTTCTCTTGTGCTCTATCTTTAAAACTAAGTCCCCCCCCGACCCCCATTAAGACTTGGGATTTGAGTAGCTTGCATAGTATTTTTTGAAATACTATATATTTCATGGATTCCAAGCTTCACATATTTTCTACATTTTAACATCCCTGAAATTGAGATGTGTCTTATAATCACTGGATGGTGTGTCATAGTTTAACTGGCAGCATGCTTTCATTCTTTGTGGAATATAAAATAGTAATGGGCATGTTCTAATCAACGATGTCTTGGATTTGATGAAATATGGTACTTCCCGATGGGTTTCCCTATCTTGTCAATCTGCTTTCTTTTCCATGAAGCCTTTTATTCCCCCAAAAGGGGAAGAACAATCTACTTAGGGAAGAAGTCCAGTCCAGTATGAGCATTCCAATCAATCATCCATGAGCGGCTGAATATCCTTTCAGGGCTGATAGGAGGGAGAAAGGTAAGAATTGAGTCAAGTGCCTTGATCCCCAGATTGGGACAAAAAGTCCTGGAGGTGGGAGAAGGAAGATGTAGTAGAACCTCTATAGGCTTGCTTCTTGCTTCTTGTGGCATAGCTCTAGAAAATTACAAGCCTCCTGGAGAAACCCCCGTGGTATTGGAACAGCACGGCGTTAGAAGCTGACAAATGGCCAAAGGAGGTATTTAAATGGATGAACCTGAGCTAGCACCTCTGGTTCCCACTCCCAACAAAATCCAGAAGTTTCTGTGTATCCCAGAAGAATGTTGGAAAAAATGAGCCTAGGGTGAAAACTCCTCTGAGCAGAAACCTTGAGACACTGGGATGGAAGGGCCCACCTTGCAGGCAGTTAGGACCACCCCAGAGAGGAGACCAGATGCTCCTCCCCACTGCCAGGAGGACACACAGGCTTCTCTTCACACCAAGAGGCCACCTGGGGAAAGAAGCAGGGAGACCTCCTTAAGGGGGAGGGAACTCTAACTGGGGGTTTGACTTTGAAGTAATTTAATAAGCCTCTGAAATAGGTGTGTTTTTTATTTTTAAGTTGGAAGAGGCTGAGTAACTGTAATTGGCAGGATTTTTTTTTCCTTCATAATAAGTGAGAATGCAGGATTTGAGTGCAATATGAACTTACAGTTGAAAATAAACACATCTTTTTGTTGTACATTTGAGCTGTGTGTACATTTTCATCCTATTACAATGGATCCTTTCAGGGAGTAAGATATCTCAAATACTGAAAGTAATCTGGGTTAAAGAAAAAAAACTGGCTCTGGATTTAAGCTGGACCTCAGAAATACTTATGACAGTGTAGGAGGATGAAAAGCCAGAGAAGAAATAATCAGAAAAATGGGAAAAGTAAGAGTTTGCTCCTACTTTTTTCTGCTTCTCTCTCAGAAGAAGAGCAAAGAGCAGGGGAGTGATGGATTCAGTCAATTGCTACAGAATGGTGAGCACTGGGAAGAAGCTATTTGATTTGATGAGGGAGCCATTTGGAATCTCTGAAAACTGGCCATCCAAATGTGGTACCATTTTAATAGCCATCATTTTTCATGAGATGTTAGTGTTGAAAGATACATAGTCTAACTCCACTGTCTTACAGATAAGGAAATTTGGAACCAGAGAATTTCAGAAGCCAGTTCAAAGGATAAATATGAGAAAAAGAAAAAAAAAAACAAGTACTTTACATTGGGAGTCAACTAGAATCAGCCTGTTTTGTGTCAGGAGCAAAATGTGTTGGGTCATGCATAAGCCCCCTTCAATGAAGAGATCTTTTATGAAACAGGAAAAGTACACTGGAAAGCATCTTTGGGAGCAAATACTCTGACGGGTGTTAGATGTGTTTTCATTTTTTATTAGAGAAGTTGGAAGTTTAATTTCAATATTGATGGTAACATAATTTTCTCTGCTTTATTCAGAGGAACACACAGAATCAATCTGTACAAGCATATACAACAATTCAGTTGGTGGTTTGTGCCCTAAAATCAGTAATCTGATTAGCTCTAGATTACAGTTTCCATGCACTCCTCTGGGCTTTGGGGCATGGCTCCATTCCCAGGGGGGACTTCTTCATGCAGTCTCTGCAACACAACTACAGCAGGCTTAAAGACCATGCAGATTAACACTGTAGCAAATTGTTTTGATATTTAACAGACATAAAAAGGTTATTTCCTGATATGAAATTCTGAAAATCTGCATAAATATTTTTGTGTAAAATTAAATTAGTTATGTATTTTTTTTGAAACTAGAACTTGAAGTATCAAGAATGCCCACATAATTCGTATACACATATATATAGACTTCTTCATTATGCTAAAAGTCTTGAGAGTCAAATTATATTCTGTGCCATACATTTTCTTAACCAGTATTTACTTGCATTAGGTTAACTGTGTACGGATTAGTCATAATTGGTGCTTGTGTATCATGCAAACATAGTTCTAGTATTCCTGTTTACTAATCTTGTCATGTGGCAATACTTAGATGATTTTGCTCTCTGACAGTGAGAATTAGGAGTATAAATACTTTATACATGGTCACATTTACAAACGTTTGCCAATAACCACTTCACAATCTTTATGGTGTAAGAGTGAGCTGTAATAATCTGGAATTGGCAGAAGCAATTCCTAGAAAGCAATGTCAGATGTCAACTTTCTTAAAAGTGCCTGACAGAGTTCTCCTTTTGAGCACTGATGGTTTTGGCACAGGGACACTGTTCTTTTTCTTTTTTTTTCTATTGTTCTAATAATTTCCACAACTGTTACAGGAAGTTAGCTTCTTATGGCATGGTGGAGACTTGGCACTTACTGATGAGGTAACTTAGATGTAGAAAAATTCCCCCAGATTATTTGTCTAGCAGATCACCACTTCTGCTGATAAATTTGTAGACAGAGTTTCTTTTCCCCCTAGTGCATGCGCTTACTATCACATGGCTAATACACTATTTTTGCTGTTGCTCAAACATGTCCTAATGCATCACAAAGCAGAGTTGTTAACACCAAGCTCATTTATCTGTGATGGTACTTTATAGCAAACATGTTTAAGTGGTATGATCAATGGGTAAACTCTGCCTTATTGGAATCGTAATTTTGGGGGATTTGTAGCTACTTTTAGTTGGCCAAGGAAATTCAGTATTCAAAACATTTAAGAGAAGTACGTAAGTCTCTGTGGTTTCAGGTGACATCTTGTCTATACATAAAGGAGACGCAAAAGACATCAGCTTTCTTCCACGGAATTTGTGTTCAGAACTTTGGGAGTGCTCTTTTGATGCAGTGGTTCTGCGGTTTCAGTTTGCGTCCTGGAGTTTCACACAACTGTTGCTGGTCTGCGGTCCATCTCGGCTTCCAATTTCACCATCTGCTGCATCTCCTTCGCCTGTAACATCAGAAACGTGACCTTACATGTTGAAATCCTCTCCTGAATCCATAGAGCAAACCCAACCTCTCTTCTCCCGTAAATTTGATGCTTGTCACTATGTCCTGGTACTTAAAGTGTGGTCCATGGACCAGCATCATCAGCATCACCTGGGATCTTGTGAGAAATGCGGAATCTTGGACTCCACCCCAGACCTACTGATCCCGAATCTGCATTTTAATAAGATCGCCAGGAAATTTTTATGCACGTTAAAGTCTGAGAAGGACTGGCCCACACAGTACCAGGAAAACAACTTGAGAAGAGGCTACGCCTGTTACTCATAGATTATGTCGTGTCTAACTGTTTGATTTAGTTTCTACAGATTGACATGCCTTGACTGTGTGTGGATAATTTGATCACTTTTAGAATAAGCATTGCTTATGAACGATTTATTCCCCAAATAGCCTGAAATTTAATTTAAAGTAGTTGCCTAAGAATTTCACTGATGGAGAAGTTCAGGTGGGAGCATATCACATTGATTTGGTTGGAGTATGCTGCAAACAGAACGTTACAGGAATATGTAGGGTTCCTGGAATGCTATTGTCCAAAAACTATCCTCATAGGCTCTCACTTCTCTGGAGTCATTCATTTTTTATGGTCCACCCCAGGAAGTAAGCCACAGTGAACTCAATCTCATGAATTAAGGCTGTCAAGAAGACAACCAGCTGATTTGGGGGGTGGAAAGGCGTCATATGGGGACAGGCTCTGATGACAAATCATTGCCTGGCAAAATAGGGAAAATCAATTGGTTCATTTTATCTTTTACTTTCCAGCCATATGCTTTTTTCCAACCCAATACATGGATCTTTCAGAGGAACAATAAAGCACCCTGTCCTTTTTCAGTGACACATCATTTTGAAATAAAGGGCATTTAAAAATGGAAACATGGATATAGAAAGATATAACTCAAGAGGAGGACTCTCATGAGCTCTGATGTTACTATTCATGTCTAGTTAGGTATTCCAACCAAATGGAAGGTCAGTGGGAGGATTTGGTCAACTCTGCAGATCATACTATGAGCATCTAAATGTCCCAAATGAAGTCCTGCTACAAAATTAGTTTAACCCACAGACCATAGAGTGAGTTCCTTCTTATCGTTATTTTTGTTTGTTTGTTTTATGGGTTTTTTTGTTTTTTGCGGTACACGGGCCTCTCACTGTTGTGGCCTCTCCCGTTGCAGAACACAGGCTCCGGACGCGCAGGCTCAGCGGCCATGGCTCATGGGCCTAGCTGCTCTGCAGCATGTGGGATCTTCCCGGACAGGGGCACGAACCCGTGTCCCCTGCATCGGCAGGCGGACTCTCAACCACTGCGCCACCAGGGAAGCCCTTATCATTATTTTTATATTGTGGCTTTAAATTTCATTTTGGTGAGGATGGATATAATAACATTAAAGATGATAACTTTCTGCTTACATTTGGGATGGACAGTTCCCCCTCCCCAGATTTTTTTTATGCCTGAGATATAATAATGCTCTAATAGAGAAATGAAGAAATGGAGAAAAATATACAAACATGAAACTATGACACAAGCAGTATTCATAAGAGATGACAGTGAAACATTATCAGCACTTGAAATTAAATACTTTTATGTTCACTAAGTAGTAATAAAGGATTCCCTATGCTTCTCCCCCTCTAGCACTTAAAGACAATATTGAACACTGTTTAGAAAGAAGGATCATATTAACACTAAAAAAGGATTCCAAGAGCCAGCTTCTCATATGAGCAGGGTGACCATTCATGCCCACTTGTCAAGGACGGTTTCAATTTATGCCCATGGTCTTGGCTATTATGAACAGCTTCCCCTTTCACTTACAAAACTACCTTGTTTGAACAATAAATCATATAGTCACTTATAAGGGGTGATTAAGGTCCCTGGCAGATTGGATCTAACACAAAGCATGCCAAGAGTCATTGTATAATGACATTGTATAATGTTTCTGCACGCAAACCATAACTCTTTGTCATTAAAAACCACCAATGAACTTTTACCAGGGTGCTTTAAAAATTAATGGCAGTCATATTAATGTTTGTGAAAGATATGACTCTGTGACCCAGTCTTAGCTGTGATCTGTCCAAACAACAACCATACATCACTGTTTTTGATGCCTGGGTACATCTTCATTAGCATGGCTTGAGTTTCCCAGGTCTGCAACTGGAAAGGCTACTAAAACTCCATCAGAAATAATTCTCTCAAGATGTTGGCCATTTTGGTTTGAATATTACATCAGAAATCCAAGCATTAAATAGTCACACTTTTAAATCAAACCCTTGTGATCTTAACTAGTCATGAGCAGATGTGAATCATCAAAGCACCAAGAATATGGATGTAGTTGAGCAGGAAGGCAATGTCTTGCTTATCAGAGTTTTCAGTCCTACCTTGCGTTTGGGACACTGCATGACAGGATTTCAAAAGCTGTTTGTACAAAAATAGTAATGTCAAAATTGAGTCATACATACAAAACAAAGAAAATAAATGAATACTGAAGTGAATTTGAAAAATGAATGCAAAACCATATACAGAAAAGCAAAAAGCTAAGACTAAAACATGTATACAACCATCAGTGACAAACTTCCCCCAAGTTGATCTCAACAGAAAAAAAAAGAACAAAACAAACGACCGATGCCTATTAGCCCAGACTGCGCCTCTCTTGTGGGGCAGTGAGTGGGGAACCCACCCTTGAGCGAGACCCCCTCACCTTTCTTTATTAAATGATAGGATTGATGGCAAAAATCAATTTTTAAAACTTGGGTGTGACAGTAATGGAGCATTTCAGGTTTGAAATGGTGCATGTCAAGAAGGATGAGCTCCTGTGTGGCTGGGAGGTCGATGGGAAACAGCAGCAAAAACCCTTTGGAGTTTTAAATGAATAACTGGCTGACCAAGTAGACAAGGCCATTAGGAGGCTTTAAAAGGCCATATGAAGTTAGGATCCAGAGTCAGGACCCAAATATATTAAAACTTGAGTTGTTTCTACCAATGCCCTCAACACTGTCTAGCTAATGAAGTAGATCGATTCCAGGCTTTTCTTTGGGAGTGACTGGGAGAATTTAGGCGATTAGGGTCACAGGAAAGCAGGTAAGAAACCTTAAAGGGAGGTATTATGGGAGAATGTTAAAATTCATTTATTTTTGGCTTAGAAACAGAAAAAAGTCTTGGGGTTTAACAGTAGTTTGGGAGATTGTTATACAAGTTTGGGATTGCCTGGAGACAGGAAACTGTTTTCTGCCAATGAAATATTGGTTATAAAGGGAGCTCTCCAAATGGTTCCAGACCTCGCCTATTATGAGGGAAGAAACAGAGTCACTATGTCTTTTGCCCTGTGTCTATGACAGTGTTGAAACACACTGAGTAACTGAATTGAGAGGTCTCTGATCTTTAAATTCCAAAAAAAAAAAAGGTATACCAGAAATACCTGGGATTGAATTTGCTATAGAATAGGCCATATTTGTAAAGCAAAGCTTAACAAAGAAATTCAAGTCCTAATTCTACATTTGCTGGAAGTGTCACTATATCTTGAATTTCTTTTCATGGAATCTCATTAAATCTTCATCAAATCTCAAGCCTTCTCATGTTTTTTCCTAAGCTTCTGTGACTCAAAGTATCAGGTGTGGGTGGTAGACATTACCTGTGACCCACTGAAAGGCATTATATGAATTTTTGGAACAAAAGGTCACTATACTCCCAATATGATCCAATCAGTACAGTTATCACTAATCCAGTATTTCAGTGCAAGAACTCTGGTGTGATTTGAGTTACACATGTATTAGGATAAAAGCCCAAAGTGATTTTTAAATTATGCAATTTAGCTCTCAAACTAAAAAGACTAGGTAACCGTACTCTCTAGCTCTGATATACACCACTATTGTAGTGATGAGTAATTTTTAGCACATTTATATTCTTTAGTCAAACTTGTTGCCAAGCAACACAATGATTTCTAAGTAGTTTCTTAATTTAGCTAAGTGAAACATAACTGCATCTTACCTCCATTGTGCCTTCTTCTAAGGCATCCTTATCCCCACCCAGTCCTGATTCACTAAAGTGGATTCTATTGTTTTGGAGATGGTGGTTCTACCCTTACTCATTCACCCATCCCCCCCCCCCCCCCCCCCCAGCACTTTCTGAGAAATGCTTTAGGAGCAAAATCATTAGTAACTTGTACCAGAAGGTGATGTATCTATGAGTTGGTCAAATGAGTTGGGCCCATGGGACAATAAACACTTATTGTCCCCCTTAGGGATCTGTGGACTGTTCATGAATAGAAGCATTTAGCTGGAAAGGAAATGGGAAACATAACTCAGAAGTATGCCCATGAGTAAAACTTCTATCAACTAAAAAGTAAAGAATCTGAAACCAGAAGTTGGATTTATTTGTTACCCAATTGCAATACAAAAAAAAAAAAAGATTTTATGGTTTTGTTTTACTTTCTCAAAGGTAGTTTTTAGTGTAATTTCCAGTTAGGTGTTCTTCAATGGAAGCCATTTACTCTTAAAAAATATACCTTAAATAGTATTACTTTATATATGAAAGGAAATAGGAAAGAATAATGTAGTACAAGTACGTATTTCAGCAAAACCACTTTAAAGCTTCTATATTGAAGTGAATTATCTAGAAACTTCCAAACCAGCTACACCTAAAGAGATGTATTTGGACTGAGACAGACTGAAATTTTAACTGCTGCTGAGGGTCATTTTGCCACATAAGCTAGAGGTACTTCCATCAAATTGAAATGAGAGTGCGGATGGCCAATGGGCTATAGCCCATCTATATGTACTGCTCGAGGTAAACACACATTTATCCTGGTGTTGGTATATGCCTGATAGCTACTAAATAGTTGGATTTTGGATAACTCTTTTTATTTGTGTACATTTTTTGTGTGTATTTTTATTTGTGTATATTTAGCGTTTAGCACCAAGAGTATGGTATCCACCCACTTCCAGTGGTTTGTAGAGTTATGGTGGCTCATGCCTCTAAGTTTCACTTGTAAGGCCTAATAAGGTTCTATAACTTCACTTTTAGATTGAGGTTGAAAGTGGGTGGTCTCTCTCATTTGCTTTTAAATACAACCTCACTTGTCTCTAGGGTAAAAGTGATAAAACTCTAAGTGAAAATGAAGAAACAATTTGTAACCTGTTTTCTCCTCCTCTCAGTAATGTCCTTCTTAGAATCCCCATAATCTAATCAAAACATGACTTTTGATTCTTTTCTCCCCACAGCCACATTCCTCTCCCACTTCAAAAAAGAATACTTTCTGTTCTTGGTGGATGAAATGGGGTAAGTACAGTAGGCACCAAATTTTTCTAGCCATCTTTCCGTGCTACTACTCAGGCCACGGGCTTTAGCAGAAGGGTGACTCTGACCTAAGGCATTTGCCTCCCGAAGCTGGCTGGCTGCCTACAACTTTTTATGCTTTTTAGGTGAAATACCTGCTCGTTCTGTTTCTCTAGGAATTCGAGGTGCTCAAGCTGGACTTTTTTCAACTGGTCCATTTCTTTGGACTGCTTCATTGCGAGCTGCAAAAAACAAAACAAAACAAAACAAAACTTCTGGTCAACTTTGGGTTGTAATCTTAAAACTTATGGATGAAGGTTGGTAGTTTGCAATTTAAGTGACGGATATAAAAAAAAATTAAAAAGAAGAAAGAAAAATATGTGTTATCCAATACAAAATTGGATTTTTAAATGCCAAATTACTTTCTTTTCATTTTTAGGATTAGCCTGAAAACTGGGAGAGTTTAAACCCATAATTTTTACTGGCAAGATAGTTCCTGCCAAAATCTTAGAAAACAAGAGTACTTGTTCACGATTAAAATCTGGCTTCATTTTCTGTATAAAATGGAGCAAATAATTACCTTAAAGATTTCAGTGAGAGATTAATTTAGCTTTCAGGGAGCGGAGAAGAGAAGCTAGAATGTTTGACGTACAGAAAAAGCAAATTAAGCAAATTAGCTAGTAGTCTGATTTCTAAGCATGAGTTACTGTTTATAGTTTTTTTAAAGGAAAAGTGTCAAGAAAATTATAAAATACTTACTCGCTTTCTTTCTTCCAGAAACTTTTTAGTGTTGCTGCTGTTTAATTCCCTGACCCGCCTAAAAGCAACAGGTACAAACAACAGTTGGTATGACGTCAGTTGGACATGATATTAAATATGAAGGAGTCATATTCCATTTAATTATTTGGATGGGATTATCACTTCCTTTTCCTAATTTTGATTGAGGAATTTTGAAATGTACAATGTACAGAGAAAAAGACAAAAAAAATCTGTGTACCCATCACTCAGATTAGTCAACATTAATTATGTTTTACCATGCTTGTCTCATATTTTTAAAGGAAATAAAGCATTGCAGATATAAATAAACCCCCCTTTGTATTCTTCCTCACTCCACTTCCCTCCTTTATCTCTCTCCAGAGGTAACCACTATTCTGAATTTGGTGTGGACCTTCCTATCCATGTTTTAATATTTTTATTACATATGGATGTATCCATATGTAATACACACAAATGTTTCTCAAACTTTCACATGCACACAAATCACATGGAGATACTATCAAAAACACAGATTTCTGAACCCACTCCCAGAGGGTGTGATTCAGTGGGTCTGGGGTGGACCTGAGATTCTGCATTTCTAATAAGCTCCCAGGTGATGCTGATGCTTCTGGACTATACATATACTGTTTTGTATGGTTTCCAAATTAACCTAAATGCTAACATATTCTGGGTTTCTTTCTGTAACTTAAAACTTAGCCTTATGATTAAGAGATATAGCTATGTTTCAAACGATTCCATTATTTTCATCTGCTGCATGGATTTTTCCATTTATGAGTAGATTACAGTATTTTCATTTTGCCATTAATAGAAAGTAGGTTATTTCCCAACAATGCACAATGGTTTGGCACACAGGGTCCTGAAATGCTTGGCACACTGTCTATTGGCTAAATAAATGAAATGTAGGACATATCTTCTTGTGCGTATGAGCAAAGGTTTCTCCAGGGTGTAAACCTAGACTTGCAGGTTGGTAGGGAGTAAACAACTTCATCTTTACTCCAAAGTACCTGTCCCAGTTTGCACTCCCACCCATGGTGTCTGGGTGTTACCCTTTCTCCATATCTTTGCCTACTCTTGTTACTATCAGACATTTCCTTTTCTGTCAATTGCTGTTTTTTTGAAATGGCATCATGCTGTTGTTTTAACTCACATTTCCCCTGATTATTGGTGAGGTGGAGTGTTTCTCATGACTAAATAGACGTATAATTGACTGAATTTCTATAATAGTTATAGGTCTATTCAGGTCTTCTCTTTCTTTTACAGTCAGTTTTGGATATTTTAGTTTTTCTAAGCAATTGTCCATTCCATCTAGGTTTTCAAATTCATTAGTAGTATTGTTTATAGTAGTCTTGGTTTTCAAAAGTATTTACTGCATTTGTAGTTATTTCCCTTTTCATCCCCAATACTACTAATTTGTGGTATCTCTTCTTTATCAGTCTTGCTGGAGGTTCACTGATTTTTTTTTTTTTCAAATAACAAGCTTTCGCTTTTGCTTTTTTCACTTTTTTACTTCCATTGCTTTTTGTTTTCTATTTTAATATTTTTTGCTTCTTAAATTTTGATTTCTTCCCATCTGACATCTTTGGGTTCAGTTTATTTTTCTAATTTTATGTCCTCTTTGAGCATTTTCTTATTAATTTTCATTTCTTTAAAAAAATATATGCATCTAGGCTATAATTTTCACTGTAAATATCACTTTAAGATCTAGTGGCAGGAAAGGAATAAAGACACAGACATAGAGAATGGAGTTGAGGACGTGGGGAGGGGGAAGGGTAAGCTGGGACGAAGTCAGAGAGTAGCACTGACATATATACACTACCAACTGTAAAATAGATAGCTAGTGGGAAGCAGCCACATAGCACAGGGAGATCAGCTCGGTGCTTTGTGACCACCTAGAGGGGTGGGATAGGGAGGGTGGGAGGGAGACGCAAGAGGGAGGGGATATACGTATACGTATAGCTAATTCACTTTGTTATACAGCAGCAACTAACACAACAATGTAAAGCAATTATACTCCAATAAAGATGTTAAAAAAAGATCTACTCTCTTAGCAACTTTCAAGTAATATACAGTGTGAGCTACAGTCACCATGCTGAAATTAGATGCCTAAAACTTATTAAACTTATATTTGCAAGTTTGTATCTTTTAATCAATGTCTCCTCATTGACTCCCCTACCGTCACCCCCTGGTAATCACCATGCCACCCTGTTTCTATGAATTTGGCTTTTTTATAGACTCCACAAATATACAGTATTTTTCTCTGTCCGATTTAGTTCACTTAGGATAATGTTCTCAAAGTTCATCCATGTTGTCCCAAATGGCAGGATTTCCTTCTTTTTATGGCTAAATAACATTTCATTGAATAGACATCTCAAATTTTCTTTAACCATTCATCTGTTCATAGACACTTAGGTTGTTTCCATGTCTTGGCTATTGTGAATAATATTGTGATGAACATGGGGATGTAGGCATCTCTTCTAGATAGTGTTTTCATTTCCTTCAGATATATACCCAGAAATGGAATTGCTGGATCATATGGTAGTTCTATTTTTAATTTTTTGAGGAACCTCCTCCATATTGTTCTCCATAGTGGCTGCACCACCAATTTACAATCCCACCAAGAGTACACAAGGGTTCCCTTTTCTCCACATCCTTGCCAACACTTATTATCTCTTGTCTTTTTGATAACTGCCACTCTAACAGATGTGAGGTGATATCTTATTGTGGTTTTGATTTGCATCCCCTGATGATTCATAGTGTTGAGCATCTTTTCATATACTGTTGGCTATTTGCATGTCTTCTTCAGAAATATGTCTATTCAGGTCCCCTGCCCACTTTTAAAATCAGATTATTTGTTTTTTTGCTATTGATTTGTTGATTTGCTTATATATTTTGGATATTAATCCCTTACCTGATATATGTTTGCAAATATTTTCACGCATTTGGTAGGTTGCCTCTTTATTTTGCTGATTATTTCTCTTCCTGTGTGCTTCATCTAACTCTGACACATTGATCAACAGTGTTTATGTTGTCATTCAGTTATAAATATCATGTCATTTATGTTGAAATGTCTGCTTTGACCCAAGAATAGAAGTATTTTTCAGCTTCTGCATGTCTTTCTTAGCTCTCTGATTATAAATTTTTAATTTTATTTCTCAGTAGTTTGATAAGGTGGATACACACAGCCTGTGTTTAAAAAGGTAACCATTTAGCATAGAGAAATTATTTTTTAAGAGACCAGCCATTTGTAGATGTTTGAGAGTCACCTAACCACTGGATACTGAGTTATAATAAATAAGTATAATAAGCCAAAATAAGGAAATTAAATAAAAAAACTTTCCTGGTTAAGTTATCAGTAACTCATAATTTAAGATAACTTGATCTCAACTGGGTTAAAGTCCATTTTGCAACATAATTGAAAAAGTATGATAAAGAGCTATTTAACAATTAGCACATTTATCATGTTGAATTCTATATTTCAGTTTGGACAGTCTAAAACAGTTTAACAAGGTTTTATTATGGCATGAATATTTTGTGTTTTTCAGCTAAAGTGGACAATGTCATTTCCATGTACACAAGGCCATTAAGCAAAGTTCCTTGTCTGAGAATAACGTCCAGAGGGTGGCACTTTGTTAAAATAAACAAGAACCAGATAACTACCCCAAAATGATGGTGTAAATGAGCATTGATTAAATTGAGTAATAATCTCCCTAGAGAGACACAAATGACACTCCATGTTTACTGGGAAATTTCTTGGCCAAAGTGTTGAAAAGGCAATTCATTTCCAGGTCAAATTACTGTGGAATTCCAAATCCTATTACTGGCCAGTTAATTCCAAACCATATTTAATCCAACAAAACTTCAGCATAAAAATGCACTGGATGGTATTATGCTTTATATTTTGTCCTATTTCAAGTTTAACTTTAATTATGGTTAATAAATGAGATGCGTTTTAAAAATCAACGATATTGAAGTAGTTGGACAGCAGTTACTGCTGTGTTCAAGACAAGGAGGAAACATCAGGTATCAACTAAGCGTCCACAAAAGACCGTGTAGACAGTGGAATTGAAACAGGGGTACTTTGCTTGGAGCTGCAAAGTTTCCTAACAGCTCAGCCTATGGTCCACAGCTGAATGACGTAAAGCCCTAAACTTCATGCTCACGTTTTAACCCCCAAAGGTAATCTTCACTTTGCTCTGAATTTTGTTGAGCATAAAACACAGGCTTTGTGTGGGTGGTGAACTCAGCCGGCAGCCACATTCTATCCAAGTCTATTTCTCCAAGAGACACAATCCTGCTGTGCTTGACCACTGCTGTGTGAACCTAGCTCTCAGTTCTGGAGCAACCAGCATCTGTGTTCTTAGAGGCTTTCAGGGCAGCCATGAGCATCACAGATGAAGATGCTTTTTGGGATCACTGGGAACCAAGTGCTGCTAACTCCCTCTCTTGGGTACTATGACTACTGATGTCCTCTCAGATCCCCTTTACCAGCTTTGGCTAAAAGGCTTGCACCTGGGATCTTCTCTGGAGGTCACACAAACCTTCCCCCAACTCTATGTGGCCAATGACTGATTAACATAGAAGTACAAAAGCCAGACACCTGTGGTTCAAAGGGACAGATCATGGTAGAGTTTACAATCCAGAGCTTGGGATCAGGCTGAAGAGGAACTCTAGCCGAGACCATATCCTTACTTAGCCCCTGCCCTGGCCCCCTCCTGCTTCCTCCTCTCCCCTTAGCTGAAGATCCTTTCCTCAGTAAATCATATGCACACAAATTCCTGTCTCTGTTTCTAGAAACCCATTCTAAGACAAGGATGAACCAGAAAACCTGTGTGTGTGTGGGGGGGTGGTGGTGGTTTGAGATGACACCTGGTGTCAAGGACAGCACGAGGCCAGTCAAGGGAAGAAGACCATCCTACATGCTGTTATACAGACTGTAAGTCCATTCAGAATGGGCTTAACACCTGAGCAGATGAGATGCTTACAGGATGACCCAACGGGATGTGGGAAGGATATCTTGCCATATTTTATATAATTTTGTTTGTAAATTAGCACACATATATTGAATGTAAATCTGTTTTACTAGTGGTAGTAAACAATCAGAAGATGTTTTACAGCAATAATAATACATCCTCTAGCAGTTATAATAGCAGGATTCTAAACCAGAACTCACAGGTTTGTTTGTATCTCAAATGTGAGTGTGTGTATACACACAGAAATATTGTCGAGTCTGTGTCTTCAAGTCAGTGTTATATTCCGGCAGTGAGCGTTCAGACTCACCTTTCCCGTTCTGCTTTATTCTTGATAGATTTATCTTGGCTGATGGCTTTGCTATTTTCCATAGAAATCTTAGCCTGGTGTGCTCGCATTTCCTTGCTTTCCCTATGTATTAAAAATAAAAAAACAGGTGGTGATCATTTTGTAATGTATAGAAATATTGAATCACTATGTTGTGTACTAACATAGGAACTAACATAGTGTTGTAGATCAATTATACTTCAAAAAACAAAAAACAAACGTAACCAAACTCCCAGAAAAAGAGATCAGATTTCTGGTTACCAGAGGCAGGGGTGGGAGGAGGGGGAATTGGAGGAAGGTGGTTAAAAGGTACCAACTTCCAGTTATAAGATTAATAAGTCCTAGGGATGTAACGTACAACATGATAAATATAATGAACACTGCTGTACGTTATATATGAAAGTTGTTCAGAGAGTAAACCCTAAGAGTTCCCATCACAAGGAAAACATATTTTTTCTTTTTCTTTTCTTTTATATCTATATGAGATGATGAATGTTCACTAACTTTCTGTGGTAATCGTTTCATGATGTATGTAAAGCCAAAGCACTATGCTGTACACCTGAAACCATACAGTGCTGTATGTCAATTACATCTCGATAAAACTGGAAAGAAGAAAAATTAGGAGAGTGGATAGCTAGTGTTTAGTGGGTATAGAGCTTCAGCTGGGGAAGATGAAAAAGTTCTGGAGATGGATGGTGGTGATGGTTGCACAACAGTGCGAATAGACTTCATGCCATACATTTTAAAAATGGTTAAATTATAAATTTCATGTTATGGATATTCAACTCTAATAAAAAAAATGAAAACAGAAACAGAAAACACATTCCACATGTAACAACGGGACTAGGTTCACTTTTTATTTCACTATTGGGCTCATCAAGTTGTTTTGTACTCTGTGGAAAGGAGGGCAGGAGCCCCGATCCACTAGGATGCTTCTCCTGGGGGCAGTGGGTCACTGTGAAGTAACAGTGGTGGGCTGGGAAGAAGTGACATTATGTGTGTCTAAGCTAACCCTAACCACACAATGATCGTATTCAGCTGTCCAGAGTAGGACACTGTCATTAACATGCCATAAGAATTCTGAATAATAAAAGCTACAAATCTTAAGTTATATACAAATATCTCAGGCAATCATGTTTACCAACCTATATACAATTTAAAAATAAAGTAAATAGTGAATACAGCATGAGAGTAATCAAAGAATGCACAGGGACAACCACTTATGGTCAGTAGAATACAAGGATATTCCAGCTTTGCCCCATATTTTTGGGATCAGATGGCTTGGAAGAGAAAGGATGTTCTAACACTCACAAGTGACCATCCTGTTTTCTGACAGCCCAAGGGAAGGAAGGGGACGAAATGGTTTCCAATAAGCATAGGAAATGGGGGGGGGGGGGAAAGGATGTTTACAGGTGACTGATCACTGTGTGTGTGAATGCGTGTGTGTACCACAAAAACTCATATCTTTATATTATTGATGAGTTCATTAAAAGCATACAATTTAGAATACTAAAATGAATATTATTAACAAAGAATCTTCCCTGGAACCTGTGGCAATCTCCTTGAAGCACTGCCTGGAAATGAGGGACCAAGGAGCGAGGTTGTTTAAGTAGTGTTTGTACTTCAGGGAAAGGGGTGGACAAAGCTGAAACAGAGAGTGCTTCAGTCAGAGACCTTAGGGCCACAGAGGCTGGAGTATGTATAGAAACTCCTGGGCCCAAGAAAATGGCTCTCAAAATTTTTCATAACTTGTTATTAAATTGACCATCCCTTCTTTCATTCAACAAGCACCTATCTATAACCAAATAATGCTGCTGAATGTTAAGAAGCCAAGATTTTTTAACCGAGAGCGACAGCTGTGATGGTGACAAAGAAACACAACTACAGGATGCTTGAGAAGAAGCTTTGATGCTGCTGTTTTTTTTGAAAAATACCCCTGTCATCGATCTGTTTTTTAAGGTAAGTTAGTATTAAGGTTATGGTTCCTTCAAATGACTTCCTGTGTCATGCAAGAATTCATTTACTTTTTTTTTAGACAATGCCTGCTGTTGTGGGCTAATTTTTTCCCTTTATTCAACTTCAAAAGAAAAAAAATTAGAATAGAGTACCTTATTCTTTGAAGTATCTTTGAATAAGGGTGGACACCTAAAATCTGGTATTATAGCAATGGTCAAAGGGAGGATAATGAACAGACCTTTCTGTGTACTAAATCAAGAGCATTTCTAAGGGAAAAAAAGACAACTTTTAATCCTATACAAATAAATAGAATACTTGAAAATGGACAGTGTCTGGAAACTTAGCCCACAGGAAACTCAGCATAGTATACCTCATTTAGTTGATTCATGTGAGAATCAGAAACTATGGCAAAAATACTTCATGTTCTTATGGCTGTATATCACTCCAAAATAAAGTTGGAAATCTGAGAATGTGCCTAGATAATTCATGCAGTTAGATTTTAAAAGTTTCTTTTTGATTTGTTTGTAAAATGCTTCTGTTTTCTACTTTTCTGTGCGTATCAACAGACCATAACTGTGGCATACAGCTGGCACTAAGGTAGGCGCAGGCGAGCTGCAACAAAGCTGTGATAAAAAGACATAACTGACCTAACACTCTTCCGCCCTGGGAAAAAGTCCAGCTCATCATATGCAGTATGCGATTTGCTGAAATGGGGTGAGACCAAAGTAAACAGATACTTTTTGCGGTTTCTTGATCAGGCCTGCTTTTCTAGAACTCATAGAAGTCCAGACAGCGGAAACAAGGGTCTTTCCTCAGGTACCTCTGAGTGATCAGAACCAATCCCTCTAGGAGCTCAACTGCTTGGTCTTTACCTCCTTCTATGTCTTCTCTTCCAAGAGGCTCCAGATCATTTTTCAAAGGCCGCCTCCAGCCCTATCATTCTATGAAGCATCTGGGACCACTTGGAGGCGGTAGAGCCTGTGACACGTTTTAGTATGTATCATACGCTACTTGTAACGTGACTTAATTTGTCATGGGAGTGTGAGATCTTGCCAACGCTTGGAAGCCCTTTGATGGCAGAGGCCATTTCTCATAGTTCCTCTTGCTCACGTCAACTGTACAATAGGATATATGTAAAAGCTCAATGTTGTATGTCAAGTTGATTTTCCTTACTACCTTGACAGGTGCATACACACACACACACACACACACACACACACACACACACACCACAAAACTAGTCTTTCGTAAAAATTGGGAGTGTCTTCTGGAGCTAACTCTCCCACCTGTCATGGGACAGTTTCAACTGCAGGGTCTGCTGCTCGTGGGCGTTGATCAGGAGCTTTTTGAGTAGCTCGCACTGCTGGCTGAGGTGCAGATCCCGGATCTCCTGCTCCTCTGCACTGTGAGTGTTGATCATGTCTGACCACTCTTTTGTGTGCTGCGCCACGATCTCCTTGACCTGCGTGGGGAAAAGGGGGTGGTGCCACTTGGAATTCTCACAGGTCAGGTAGGAACTGAAAGCACAATATTAGCCATGCATTTCAGATCCCTCCCACCAATTTACTTGGTCAATCAGTAGACACCCATATAACCTGCAAAAATATGTACTAATCCGTGGGAATCAGGAAGTCATTGCTTATTAAAATAGAGCAAACACTTTGGCTCTAAATACTTAATCATGACTCGTTATTTCAACTGCCTAACTCGCCCACACTCTGGTTTGTCTGGGCTTTGGGCTCCTTTACCAATTCTATCAGAATTCTCTTCATCACCTTATATTTTTCCAGCTTCACTTCCACAAGGCCACAGATCTGAATAGAGAGCTGTGTTCTCTTATTCCTGGATCATGACTTATTGTGTCATTTGAACAGATGCTGGGGTAGAAAGTCTTCTCCTGCAAAGAGTATCCGTGCTCTTCACACTGTGGTTTTACAGCTCATCAATAGCTAGATTCTCTTTCTCCACCTCCTTGAATCTGGCTGACCCGTGATTTGCTTTAGCCACAAGACAGTAGCAAATGTGATACAAGCAGAAGCTTGGAAAGTACTTATCCTTTTTCTATGCCTGGAACCTTGAGGCTAACCTGTGGTAAAGCCTGTGCTAGCCTGCTGGAGGATGAGAGGTCATGTAGGAAAAAACAACCAGCAGTCAGCTACCCACCAGAGAGCTGAGTGAGGCTATCAATCCCAGCTGACTGTTGACACACACATGAGCCCAGCCAAAATCAGTAGAACTGTCCAGTGGAGTATAGCCCAAATTCTAACCCACTGAATTGTGAGCTAATACATGGTAGCTGTCTTACGCCACTAAATTTCGGCATGGTGTTTCATGCAGCAAAAGCAAATTGATATGGTGGCCAACATTTCTGTTTTCCTATTTATGCAAAGCATTTAAAAATCATGGCATGTTGCATAGTTGTTAATTCTCACATATTCCAGTTAAGAAGAGAGAAAGAGAGAGTGGGGAACAACTCTTAAAGATACACAGCTTACTGCCTCTACAGACTGCATGGCAGAGTGGACACAAAATACACAGCACCAAAGAGAACTTCGGCTTGGATGCCCGGTTGGCCCAGGTGTGTGGCAGGGTCGCTGGCTGGATGACAGAGCTGCATGTAGACATACGGAGGCTGGCTGGTTTGACCAAAAGCTATAGTTGGAAACTTTCTTTCACAGTTTCTTTTCTTTTATAATTATTATAATTATAATTATTTATGTTCTTGATGGCACCTTGGTGCTCAGCTCTCCAAAATGTCCATAATCTTAATTAATGTCCCCTAAACTATTTTCTTGCATCTTTGGGGGAATCCAAGTAATTAGGCTCATCTCCTAGAATCTCAGCTCTGGATTTTATCCCATCCCAAACTTCCACAGCAAAGTTAGGACGGAATAAGTATCAAAGAGCTACTGAACCCTCAAGGTGGGTGGTTTTCTGTCCTATGATCAATGTTACTTCTATAGGGAATCATATTCTGTATTTTATACACTATTTCCTTTTAGTTGTTTCCCTTGATGTCTCTGAGGCAGACAACATAGATATTGTGAGCATATGTTTACAAATTAAGGAAAAGGTGTTTCATGAAATGGCTCTTCTCCAAGCCAGTGAGCCCAGACCAGCCCCAGGCTACTGTTATTTCTGATTTAAACTGGGTGCAGCTTCTAAAAAATTACACAGTATCTTCTGCAGTTGCTGCTGTAAAAATAGGTATTTTCTTACCTTAGATTTGTGATCTGATGTCAGCGTCTGAATTTTAATTTCTGTTTCTTTCTTCATTTCGAGACAATTACTTCCCCTGAAAATGGAAAACCACAAATGCATGCCAGGCATTAGATATCTTTCCTCTCCCAGGAACCTTTGCTCCAAAGCCTTCCAATGAAGACAATTTGTTCATCAAACATGAGACGCCATGGCTCACTGGGCAGCCTCGGTTCTTCCAGTAATAGATGCACACCTTACAAAATATCTGTATCGTGATTACTCAATTCAACCACTACACAAAGAGACATTTCAGACCTAACAATTATCTCATTGTTAAAGGTTTGTTGTCAGAGTTTCCATTTTGGTTCCTGCTTTTCTTCAAGCTATTTTTTATTTATTCAATAATACACTATTTAGGATGAGAACTGAAAAATAGGACCTCAGCCTTGAAACGAGTTTTCAATTCTTCCACTTTGGTTGTAAAGCCAGATTTTTGTCTTTGACACATGCCAGCAAGGGAGAAAAATAGCATTTCTTGGCAGTGCAGGGTAATTTTTGCTTCTTACTCTATTGTGAGTAGGAAATATATACTAGGCAATTGCCCAGCAACTATTACTGCTTATTTCAGTGATTACTTTTTCCTTTTGGAATATCCATATCATTGCTGAAACCAGAATAGGTCCTGAGCTTCTGCCTTCAGCATATATGCTCTGATTTATTATGGCCTAAGTCAGAGTGCTTCATCATATTATTAATAGAGAGTGTCTCTGAGAGGCACATTCTAAACATCCAACTTATCACTTCTCCATGGCTGGCACTGAGTGTGTTTCCCTCCTGCTCTGTTATTCAGTGAGCTTGCAGCATCACAGAAACATTCCCCCAGCTTAATTCTATCAATAGATAAAATCTTTCAAGGTAAATGCAGTGATAGGTTTTATTCAACAGTTTCATCTGTTGGCATAAGCTAAGGATTCTTGTAATATTAAACATCAAAATTGCGTTTTTTTCCTTGAGTGTATCAACCTTATTATTTATTACCTAGCAATGCAAAATGATTTCTGGAATTTTTCCAACTGTAATTTGTCCTTCCTTCTCCCCCTCGACCCCCATTCACCTTAAAGGTACCATGAAAGACACAGTTATTACTTCATTAACCAACAGCTGCAGAACTTGAATAAAGCTCTTCTTTTCCACTTCAGTCACTCCCTTCAGCTGAGTGAGTCGCTTATTTTCCAGGAATCATTGTTAATGATGAAAAACACAGTTAAGACTAAGTTCTTCCTTGGCCTAAACAGGCAGTTGAACTGTGGGAAAAGACAAAACATAAAAAGGCAAACAGCCTCCAGAAGGACATAAACAGCATTTACCCCTTCTTCTTCATTGCCTTCTCTAGGATTTTCTCATGAGTTGACTTCTCCTTGTCATACTGCGCCACAATTTTGTCAACTTGTGTGCAATGTAGCTTCTGCATGGTACTGTGCTCCTGAACGAGAAGAATTTGTAGTGACGAGTTAGACCTGTAGTGTAGCTGGTAAACTTTCTCCCATGTTGGGCTGGCATAATTTTCAACAGCTCTTTCAGAGTCTTGGTTTGAAAATCAAGGAGTAACTGAGTCTGGGAGCTGGAAAGACTTCCAATCTCCCACCCGACCCAAGAGTTTCTTGTATTCCCATAAGGTCTCTCCAACAAGTGGGCTTCCAGTCTCAGTCCATTGAATATGCCCACCTCAAAAGGCAGCCCTGCCCACTGCTGGGCAACACCAATCATCCCAAAGTTCTTTCTTCTGCACATAGATGTCTCCATAGAACTGCCACCCATCCATCTTTGTTCTGCTGAGTCATCTAATGAGTCCACTGCCCCTTCTACAACCTAGTCCCAAAAACCCAAGTTCAGCTACCATATTTATTCTCTTTTACATGCTGAATATAACTATTCATTATGTGGCATGGCTTCTAAACACCGGACACTTTTTGGAAGGTCTTGAATACCATCATTACACAGTGAGAACCTCCACTGTGGTTGTCAATCTCAGCTCATTTTGAATCCTCATCAATTGATATTTTTGCCAGCTTCCTAATCTAGATGCACTCACAAGGATGACAGAACGTTGAGGAACCCTGGCCTTCAGCTTTACAGATAGTTAAAATATTTCTCCATCTGCTTCCTTCAATCACTGAAAATGGGGCTGCAATGCTTTGAAAATAAGTATTTCTTTATAAACATTATTTCTTCCTGATAATTTGGTCACAGCCAGGGACTTAACTGAAATCAGATTTCTTTAGCTGATCAGCCCCTAATCATAGAGGAAAACAGTTCAATCAGTAATATCCACTCTAAGATGATGCTTGATGTTATATCCTAGTCTTACTCTTGAGAAACTTAGAGAAATGAGATGATACTGAAGTCTGGAATGGATAGACTTTGCTCAGGTTATATAACTACCCTCATGGTCATGTTTCCTTTTGCTTATTTTTTTAAGTGAGTAACAAAAGTGAGTGACTTAATTATTTTACGTTTAATTTTCTTCCTAAGGTAGGCTCACCTTTAACCTAATTCATGGATATCTTAAAAGATTTCATAAAATATAAATGGGGGAGGGATTTTGAACTTTCCCAAGATTTTCTTAATTTCCCAATACTGTTAGCAGGTTAACACAGGACTTGATTTACAGTTCATTTATATATAAATTCTTCAGAAACGCATTGGTGCACATGGTCTCAGCATTCCTGTCCAGTGAATAAATGCCTCTGGGAGAAGGCATGGAGGAAGGTGGTGCTAGGCAGGAAGGTTCTAGGAATAGGACCTGATAACAGGGACAATGAGTGCTCTGAGGTGATGTTACCTTCCCCTGGATTTGGGGTTAGGGAATTATAGGTAACAATGTCCTGCTTAATTTGTGGTAACCTGGAACACCTCATAAATCCAGTCCTGTTACCAATATCTGTGCCCTTTTGTGTTATAAACAAGGGGTTCTGCATTGGGTTAAAGACATGGACAGTCTCAGGTCTTAGGACAAGCTACTTACCCTCTCAGTCTGTTCATCTTTATAATTGGGAGAGTGATACCTTCTTCAATCTTTATAATTGGGAGATTGTTGCCTACTTCAAAGGGTTGTTAGGATTAAATATAAGAGAAATCATATTTCAAATGCCTGTTATACCTTATTCAAAATACAATTACATACAAACCTACTTATATTATTCAGTACTCATGAAAACATGCAGAGAGTGACCTGGGAGAAGGGAGAACAGCCTGAGAAGTTAAATCAATAAACTTTTCCTCCAAGCTTAACCTACTGCCGCAGGAATAGATTGACACGTCGATGTATCCTTATTTAAATGGATTTAGCTACTCTTGCATTGTCATGGGGAAAAAAACCCCACTAAATCACCCTACTACTAGCCTCCCTTCTAAGATTTAGTAATCATCATGCCTGTCTGGCACATGTATTAATTTTCCTGGGCAAATAAGGGGCTGTATGCAAGTCTAGAATAAAACATTTCAGAGGTGCCACATTCCTATGTCCCTTGCAAATATCATTGAAAGGAGGGTGGAGAAGATTGTTTCTTTAAATATTCTAGCGCAGCACAAGAAAAGGGAAAAAAAAAGAGGCTCTGAGGATTGGAAGTAAGCTGACATAGACTATTGCTTAAGGAAGTATTCTGGTGAACCTTAATTAACCCAATTAAGATATGAGGAATGAGGGTGTTTGTACCATAAAGGCATTCATGATGGCTTCAAGTATATAAGATATGCTCTACAAGGGCAGGGAAAACCTCTTTTTTTCACCACTACACGGCCCAATGCTTGGTACAAAGTAGATTCAGTAAATATTTGTTGCATGAATTAAAAAAATTAGCATGGAAAAGCAGTAGGAGGACTTGGATTCTGGTCCCAGCTCATCCTAGTGGCCTTGTGTAACAAACATAAATCTTTCCAGGCTTCAATTTCTTTATTAGAAAACTGAACAGGACCTTGTTTGCCCAACCTAATTCATGGTTATGAGCTGCAAGTTACCTAATGTATATAGAATTTTAAAAAATTAGAAGCATATGGAATTAAAATGATTACAATGAATACACATAACAAGAAAGCTCACCTTGAAAAATTATCTCTTGTGTTTCTTCTCTGTGCTCAAAACTATCCCTGCGTGGTAGGTAGCAGGTATTGAAGTTTTGGGATAATCTGGTTCCCAGACAACACTTCCCCTTTCACAAAGAAATGGGGACCTAATTACTGATCATCACTTGATGGGCATGGCGGTGGGCTCAAGCCTCAGCTTCCTGTTGTACAAACTAGAGGAGCCAGGAAATTATCTCTAAGCCTATTTATACTAAACACAAAAAACAAAAAAACTATCATTGATTTTATTCTTTTGGTCCTTAACTGAGTCATGAGACCCTATGGAAGAGATAAGTCCTTTTTCATTCTTTCAGGTCAAGAGTACCAAAATTAAATATGTTGACTTAAAAGTCTATCTTAATTGGGACATTTTGGGGAAATTAATGTATGGCTTTTAGCAGGATTTGTATATATTTCTATCAAAGTTAAGAGTACCTGCTCTATATATGTATATGTATAATTGATTCACATTGCTGTACACCTGAAACTAACACAACATTGTAAATCAACTATACTCCAATAAGAAAAAAAGAACTGTCTACCACCATCAACTGCTAAAGGAAAAAAAAAAATCAATAGTAACCTCAAAAACTACAGTATATCTATTTGCTCAGTGGAAAAAAAAACATTAAGAGTAAATTCAGCTTCTTCTGGGAAAAACTTCTGCTGCAATTCATTCTTGTGGCTGATGTGACTCTGGGCATAAATTCTCACGCCACAGATGATACTGAAACATCTGAGTAAGTCGCGTTTGCTCAGCACGCACCTCTGAGATTACCAGTAAGCTGCCTTTGTGGGTGGTTGCTGTGTCTCTGCCCATTTCTACTTCATGACAGAGTGGTAGGTGTGTTACTGACTTCTTACCACGAATTACATTTGATGAGTTTAACAGTAGTCTTGGTGTTTATTATCAGCAAAACTGCTTGCATAGCAAAGAGCATATTTTCCATTAGCAGCTTTACTGAAATGCCAAATTTTAGTCAGATTCTCAGGCATTTTATTTGACTCATCTAGTGATGATGCTGCAAACTGGTGGTCCAAGGGATGCATTCAGTTTTTGTTACTGCTTTTTTTTTTTTGCCGACATGGTGTTTCAGAAAAAGACTGAATTAGTGGCCAATATTAAAAGAAGAGGAAATTCATTTAAGATTTCAGGTTCTGTGATTCTCCTTTAGAGAATGAAGCTGGCCCACAGACTCTCAAGGTGGGAAGACCTCAGACTCAGACCAATGGTAGGAACTGAGTCTTACTTGCCCTTTGGACAAGAATGAGTGCTCCCCGTTTTCTACATGGGGCCAACTTCCTTCATTTACTTCTTTTACCTCATTTGAGCTGGAATTCTTCTTCTAATGTGTTATTGGGGATATTTACTTAACTTTGGGTTTAAATTTTTTGCTCTAAGGATTGGACCACATCTGACAATTGAAAAGCATGCTTGTCTTTTAATGAAAGCAACCCTAGCTCTGGACCCAGATGAGCCCTGCGCTAGTGTGGGATCACGGTTGCTTAGTTCTGCTCTTTCTGTGTCTCATCTAATGGACACTTGAAAAGCAGTCCACTAGTTTCCATTTCAAATTGAGAAAGTGAGAGACAAGTAGAAGTTTGACTGTCAACCGCATTCAGAGGATCAAAAGCAATTGACCATTGCCATTTTCCGAAAACTAGCCATGTTGGCTAGCATTTCGATCCCATTTGGGGCTCAAATGGTCAGTACCTATCTTTTCTTCTCACTGTCCTAACAGCAGATCTCACAACTATTTCTTTGGCTCACTTTCATATATGGTAGATCCTCATTGTCATATCACTATTCCTTCTCCATCCTGCAGCTAAACTTTAAGTTTGGAAATAAGCTCTCTTATGGACCATACATTTCTTAAGCCACTAGGTTAAGTAAACCACATTCTCTGCTTCCCTTTCTGAGAAGTGGCATGATTTACTCAGGCTGGTATGTAATAGCTGAGAGTGCCCTACAGTCACTGAACATGGACTGAGTACTGGTCTCTGCTTTTGGCTACCATGTGCCATGGTTGACCCATGGGTGCTGTGATTGGAAGGTATAGCATAGGCTACCTTCCCTCCTCTGTAGGTTATTTTATAACCCAGAGCTTTGAGGTAGCAAACCTTAGCCCCATCTTAGGTAGCACCATAACTGTTAGAAAGGGTTATATAAATGTTGTTTCACAGAAAGGCTGGGGTAGTTAATCCTTACTATTGCTTGACAACAGGGCAAAACCCATTTTTCAGGGAGGCCTGCTCTGCATCTTACAGGCCTTTAGTGGGGTTTTCACTGAGGAACAGTAAAGAGTGCTAAATAATATTCCTAAAGAAACAGTTTTCAAAATTAATGTGCATAGGAGAGGAGCTTATTTAAAATGTATTTCCTAGATTTCTCCTTGGAGATGATAAAAAAGTCTCCAGTGGGCACAAGAATATGCAGTTCTATGAAGCCTCCAGTTCTTGGCCCAAGGATCATGTGTTGAAAAAGCAGTCCCAAAGGATGCCAAGATATCTGTGCCCTGTAGACTCATGACTGCTCTTAAAAACCTTTCACTAAGACCATCAAGATGTGTGGAAATAAAAACTAATGTGGGAAAACTCAGAGGCAACCCAATACAGTGATGAAGAGCTTGAGTTCTGGAGTCCAATAGAATTTGGTCCAAAGCTTGGCTCCACCATTTAAAAGCTAGGTGATTTAGTCAAGCTGTGTTTCTTTTAAGTGTAAATTATCTCATCTGGCAAATGGTTGGTAGACTGTTTGCAAAAAGGGCCACAATGATTTCTCTTTCTGTATCCAATCCCCTTTGCAACCTGACTTTGTGGTTCCTCCTGCCAAGAAGTAGAGTCCTCATCCCTTGAAACTGGGACAGCCTTGTGACCTGCTGTAGCCAAGAGATGGAGGTGGAAGTGATGCTGTGCCAGTTCTGAGCTGAGGCTTGGTCTCTTGGGACCCCTACCATGTGAATAAGCCTGGACTACTGCTGAAGATGAGAGACCACAGAAGCAGAGGCCTTCCAAAGTCAGCCAGCCCCCCACATCTGCCCACCATCTGCCAAACTGGTAGTGACAGCAGATGTACAAGTGAACCCAGATGAGACCAGGAACATCATCCAGCTGAGCTGCAAAATTGTGGGCTAAATAAACAGTGGCTGTTTTTAGTCACTACATTTGGGGATAGTTTGTTACTCAGCAAAAGCTAACTGATACAAGTTAATATAATTATAATAATCCTTTATATAATTGTTATAAGAATACCAAATAATAAATGCTTATGTATATATTAGCTAGTTTTACCTTTTGAAAAGTATTGACAGATAGAAAAACTAGTGTTAGGATCAATAAGATCAAATGGGATCAGGCACTAAGCGGGTCCAGTGGTAATAGATTCACCACATCCTCTCACCTCCTTCACCAGTGTTTCTTTTTTTCAGTTTTAAAGGCAAGTGTATTAGTTGAGTAGACCTCAGTATATATTGGGCAAGTAAATATTCCAATATACCCTTAATCTTAAAAGTTGGCTCAGATGAGACAGTGGAAAGAATTAGGGAAGTACTATAGACTGAAAAGTTACAGAAACTTTATAAAGAGAAAGGTCTAACTGTTTGAAAATAATTATTTGCAAAGCCTTTGGACAGTTCAAATAGATGAAAAGCACTTTAATTATAACCAGCATGAATGAGTTATATTGCTCTAGGCACTTCTCTGAATTTCATTTTATTCATGTCTAAAATGTGGATAATACCATTTGGGTTTCAGGGATATTGTGAGAATTTAAGAATGTATATACAATGTGTAACACAAAAGTGACATTAAATAAATGTCAGCCTTATTAGTAGTGGTAGTTCTATATAAAAAGATTATGGAATTCAGAGTTCGTAAATTATACTGCCAAAGCAGGTTGAATAGAAAAGTGGGCCCCCTGTGTATTTAATGTGGGAGAAGGAATTCATCATAAGCTTATAATTATACATTTGTGACTTTAACTTCTGAAGTACATGAGGATATGGAAAACAAGCCATGAAATGCATTTGGCTGCTAAGAAATGCTTTCAACAAGCATTCTGAAAAGCAACAGGCAAGCACTGTATATTTTACTGTGCAATTTGGCTCTGTTACTTGACTGAAGGCATTTTGAAGGCTTCCTCCAAAAAATGTACACTAAAGCTGTTACGAAAGTCCACACAAATTTAGATGGTAGGATTTAGGGAGATTTAAAATCTCCTTTTCAGTTTTGGTTCTATTAGAATGTGGGGCTCCAAGAAGCTTGAAGTTGTTTCTGCAGATGAAGGCAACTTGGATTCTATTCTGCCATATAGGATTTATTTGTTACTAAATACTAATATTTCCTCACCAATAAGTGTGAAGAAAATGGAAGGAATAAAGTTCAGTGGCATCAGAGGGGGAGAGCTATCAAAGCTACCTCTAAATTCTCTCATGGAAAAATAATTTTTCACTTGCTATTGACTGAATATTTGTATCCCTCCCCACTCTGAATTCATATGTGGAAGCCTTAATCCCCAGTGTGTTTGGAGGGGGTGCCTTTGGGAGGTGGTGAGGTCATGAGGGTGGAGCTTTCATGAATGGGATTAGTGCCCTTATAAGAAGATACAGGAAAGAGATGAAAGCTCTCCACACCATGTAAGGAGCAGTAAGAAGGAGGCTGTCTGTAAACCAGGAAGGGGGCCCTCGTCAGACACTGAATCTGGTGCACCCTGACCTTGGACTTCCAGCCTCCAGTACTGTAAGAAAGAAATTGTTGTTTAAGCCACCTGGTCTATGGTAATCTGTCATAGCAGCCCAAACTGACTAAGACACCATCTTTGCCACTTTTCCGATTAAGCAGATAGGCCTGTTAATAGAACTGAGACAGTCTGAACTCGAAGGTTTAGATAGGGAATCAGCAGACAATTCTGCTCAGTGTTATGGAGTTTAAGTCCTAAAGAACCAAGGCGCAACCGTCCTCAGCAGCTGTCCAGGTAACCAGTATATTGACACTCTCCAAAGTAGATGGAGATTTACATACTGTCCCATGTGCTGCCACTGCCTTGGATGCAACACAGGAACTTGTTTACTTACTGAAGCATCCAATATCCTTCACAGAATAATGCAATATGAGTATGGGTTCCAGACTCAAGACAATTTGGGTTCAAATATTGGCTCTGCTACCCTCTAATGCTGGGGCATTAGTTACATGGCTTCACCTCCCTGATCTTAACTTCCACATGTGCACAATGGGGACTTAGAATTTATCTTATAGGGTAGAAAGTATAAGCTGAGGTAATAAATATAAAGTGCTGAGCACAGCATATGGAAAATAACTTCACATACAAAAATCCTAGATGGTATATTATTCTTATTATTATCAGACATGGTATATTTCCTGGTCATGCCTCAATATTAATGAGACTCAGGCCAAAATGTTTAAATTTCCAATCAGTCCAAAGGCCATTGAGATGCCTGCCTCAATAACAGAGATCCAACTTAAACAGAAGGAAAATCTGGTGGATGACTCCTTGCCATATGGTTACCAACTCCATTCCTAATAACCAAAGTCATTGAAAGTGCATTCGCATTTCCTTTTCTCTCCCTTTTCTGTTCCCTTTCCATATTCCAGCTTGCTGCCAATGACCAATAAAATGGAAATCCCTACTTGAGCTCTGTCTCCACACTTATAAAAATCTGTGGCGGGTTTCCCACGTGGGCAATGAAAGGAATTCCACTGAATAGAACTGAAATTCGAGCAGTCTTTGAAGTGACCGCTATATCAGCAAATCCATGAAGCCAATAATACAGGGACTGTTACTAGGCCAAGATTAGGCCAAATTTCTCAAAGGAGCACAAACCATTAAAGAGATGACAGAGTTCCAGGCTGCACTCTTTGCATCTTCGTATTTGAAGTGACTCAGAGGTTCATCACTCAAGTCCAGCTCTGCAGGCTGTGCCTTGGTTTGAGGCTGGGGTCAGGGTATAAAGAAGTGGGATGGCAACATGAGCTTAAAAGAATTCAGAAGTCCTTTCAAGTTAAGAAGTTAAAATTTCTCTTGCTCTCCTTACCCGTAATGGAAGAGGACAAATTTACCCTTCCAGCAGCAGCAGCTGTTGTGATACATCTTAGGAAGGAAAAAGATATCACGTTTGTCTCTTTTCCTGGTGAGGGAAGACTTGAAAGCAGGATGGCGTCTGGGTGCTGTGAAGTTTTTCAACCTACGTGAGAATTCCTGCTATTCTCTTAAATTTGTAGCTAACTTAGATTTTCTCATGATCACTGTCCAAAGACCTCTTCTTATGGGTAAGTAGGAACAACAACTATATTCCATAAGTAGGCCAGCAAGCAGAGTTTACATAATGGGGGGAAGGTGAGACAAACTCTTTCTCTAGTTGGCTTGGGTGAGAAGTTTGGAGCTGGCCAGCATCTCCCCTGACACACCGCGTATGGCAAACTATTTGCCAGTGACTAAGGGAATTTCAGTACCCAGAGACTAAGACTATGCGCTGGTTTTCAATAGTCAGGTGACAGCCCACTCGTTTAGATAAAGTCAAATTATGAAACAATTTTGAAATGGGTGAAGCTTTGTTATGCTTTTGAAATAAATGTTAGAAACACAGATCACAAATCAGTGACAACCAATCCCAAATGGATTCTATTTTTAAATTTCATTTCTAAGCAGTTAAAATGAAGGTCCTTCTGCCCAGTTGGCTGGTATCAGTTTCTAAGTAGTGTTTTTGGCTGTGAGGTTTCATCAGAGAGATGAAAGGAAAAAACACACAAACAAGCAAACAAAACTACACACACATATTGCTTGCCCACACAAAACACTGTACCTTTGCATGTTTCTTCTTTAAAGAACTGAGCTCCTTCTGTTGTTTCTTTAAATGCTTCAAGTAAGCCTGTGGGGGGGAAAAAGAAAGGCAGGATCCCAAATAAGTTTGTGTAGTACTACCACAATGATTACAGTTAGTGAGAAACAAAAATAAGTCAGTTTCACCAACAGGCAGAACACAAGAGTGCTGGCAAAATGACGGAGTAATTTTACCTTCATCTGCTTTAAATCTTCTATCCTCACTTGAGGGATCAGTTCAATACCTGAAACAAAAAGTCACTGTGTATATTAAAAATGAGAGAGAATAAGTGATCATATCAAATTCACAGTTTTGAAATCTCATCTAAAGATGCTGACGCAGCTTTCCGTGTAATGTTATGGATATAAACATCTTAGTTTCCTATTACAGAGCAATTAATTAGACACTTACCTGAAACGTTTATTGTTTTAGGTCAGGTTCCCTACTATCAGAGCCTGAAAAGGGGATTTGTGTACACATGATTTATCAAGGGAAGGCTCTCAGGAGAAACCCCTTAGAGGGTGGGAGAGAAGCAGGATAGGGCAGAGGAAGAAGCTTGAGTGTCTTTCTAGCTGAAATCCAGCCTAGGTCTGATCCTACAGGAAATTCTTTAGCATAAACGGCCCTCTGGTGTTGTTCTAGTTTGAGGTAAGGAAACTGGGCTTTTGTAACCCCATATCACTCAGCTAAGGGTGTCAGAGATTTTACAGAATCTTCCTTTTCGAGGCAAGAGAACTCACATGGTCTGAGGGCAACTCTAGGGAGAAAAGTGCAGCTGTGATTTGCAGTCAGCCAGTATTCCCAGGCACCGAGGGTTGCGACACCAACCCCATAGAGGAGATCAGACCAGGCACAGCAGCATCTATTACAGTTACCTTTATCTTTGTATTTGAAGGCTCATCCTATAAGTCCACTAACTACCAACTCTATTCCCAGCTTAACCATCATCAAAGAACAAAACATTTTTTCAGCCGCTTTCTTTAACTGAATTTAATTTTAGCATTTAAGTGATATACTACTGAGTCCAAAAATGCCTTTAACAGACATAAAATAATGAAAATAATGAAATCAAACCATCGTAGAACAGGACGCTGTCATGAAGACCTAGATTAATATACTAAGTCATCCTGTTACTGGAGTGATGCTAAGCCTGGTGTTGTCATGGCAACCACATTTGTAGGCGAATCCCAAAACATGTTCTGTTTGACTGCAGATATTCATCTTACGCAAACAAGATGAATGTGCCCTCTGTACTATAATTGATTTCCGTTAGAATCCCAAAGGCTAGGTATGAAATATTCAAGAAAGATAGGTGTCAAGTTCTAGGCTCTTGTTTTTCAGCTGTACTGATTTTAAGAAGATGTGCACACCTAGTGTGAGCGTGGTAAGGACAGAAAAAAGGAGAGTCATGGCGGAGAGAAATCAGTCTTCTGATCTATAACATTTTGTGATAGGGGTGTCAAGGGATCATGGGGCTACTCTCTAATCTCTTAGGTCTGACATCACAAGCTAATTTCCTGCTTTACTGCAGGGCAGAGGGGTCTATCCTGGCATCACTAAGAGCTCCCTATCTTTGGGTCTCTTTTCTCTCTTCTATAAAATGAACACACAGAATTGGGGGGCATGCAAGGTCCTCTGGAGATCTAACAAATACTAAGAGTTTGACCTAGTCTGATGAGACTCTTTTTTGGTGTTTGTTCAATGAAATCTTGATTAACAGGACCCTGTGAAAACATAAACCTTTGGTCTTCTTTGGAGAAAGACATTATAAAAGTGTTAGTTCCTGTGAATGATTTAGTTAGTTAGGAAAAAAACACACTCTACAGAACAGGAACTGGTACATGCTTGGTTTCATCTATATGTCCAAAGCAGCTTGTCTAATAGGACTTCCAATAGGAGTGGATATGTTCCATCTGTGAGCTGTCCAGTGGATGGCCACGAGTTCCACGTGGCTCTTGAGCACCTGAAATGTGGCCAGTGCACCTGAGGAACTCAAGTTTTGATTTTTAAGCCCAAATAGCCACATGTGGCCAGTGGTTTCTATATTGGATAGTGTAGGTCTCCAGGCTTCTGGTTGGAAAGTAGGGGTGAATTTGGGCCCCAAAGATTTTGACTAGTTGAAGGTTCAGTATATATATATATATATATTTTTATCAACGCAGCTCATTAAAAATGACTTGTTTTCTCTCAAACCGTAATTTGGAAATCAACTAGTTGAGTTTCCTTAATTCTTTATCCTTAAAATTAAAGAGAAAATCAAGCAGCATTGGTGCAGTTATTGCTATTTGGCTGTGTGTCTAAGAGAAATCATGTAGAACTTCAGGACTCCTCACCTTCACAGATGTTCACGCAAATTCTGTCGGGCTCCACCCTGACAGCTTCCTTTTCACCCTGAAACTTCTCTTCTTGGCTCAGACAGGACACCTCTCTTCCCTCTTTATGCAGCAGGATCGTTTCCTTTCTCTTGATTCAGCTCTTCCCCAGAGCCTGTTTCACTATATAGCTCTCTCTTGCATTTTCCTTCTCTTTCTCTTCACTGGTTCCTACCAACATGCTACTGCTCTACACAACAACCATTTTATATCTTAAATCATCAATTTTTCTAACCTGGTTTCCATTCTCATCACCCAGGCATCCCTGATCCAACAGTAATTATGCAGTCTTAACTTCTCTGGACTGTCTGCAATACCTTCCAAAACTCATTCTTCTTATAACATAGATCTCTCTCTGTTTTTCTTTGTTTTCATTCCTGCTATCTTTCTAAGCATTCTCACATTCACTCTCTCTCTTTCTCTCCCTTCTCCCTCCTCTTTACCTACCACAGCTCTGCTGTTGCATGTTTCCACCCAGATGTACCACCAACAGCTTGAACTTGATGATGTCCAGGACCAGAATCATCTTACTCAAAGCTTTTCTTCCTCTTGAGTTCTCTACTTCACTCAGCGGCACCATCTCTCTCTGTGACCTGACCTTGAAGTCGCTGAGTTACCTCCTAAGTCCCATATCCAAGCCACCAACTGATTTCCATCCTTCCTTTCCCTCTGAGTACTTCCAGCCTAATTCAGGCCCTCCTGGCCATTAGTATGGCTCATTCATTCATCAGCCATTTACCTCTTAAGAGAAGAGACTTTAGATCTTTACTAGGCATCGTTCCAGGGACACACTGAATGACAGAGGGGTGGTCTTGTCAGCAATAACTGCTTTCTCTGGTTGTTATCACGTCATATAAATATAATGTGAATAAGTATATAATATAAATATAAGGTGATAAGCGTTATAGTAGAGTCACAAATACTCTAATTCTTCACTTGCCCTTAGCATCCATTCCTTCCTTTTAAAGAATATTTCTGCCAAGACTGTATTAATCTTCTTTAAAAAATCCTCTGATGTCATTTCCCATTCTCAGGTGGTCTCAGATCCTTTCCAGACCAGGACTGGCCCTGCCCCCTTTCCTACCCCTGGCTGCTTCCTATGTGGCCTCCTCCTGGGCTCCTCCACCTTTTCTTCCTGTTCACATCAGACCTTCATTTCAAGGCCCAGCTCAGTTAGGACATCATCCTTAAGCCTCCTCTGAGCGCCAGCTGGAAGAGGCCCTCTCCCTCTTGTTTCTGAGAGGTCAGCGCTCACAAACACTGCCTGGCCGAGGGGTGGAAGCCTGTCCCATCTTACCCCTCGGGCCATGTGAGGTCCCTGAAGGTGCAAAGGCATTTCTCATAGAACCGAGTACTGCCACTTAGAGGAGGCTCCCAAGTCTCCTGAACAAAAGGCCAAAATGAAAGTGTCTAGACACTCTTCCTCGGGGCGTCTGCGGAGGGGACGAGGGAAAGGGAGAGCTTTATTCCAGTGGCTCCTTCCTGTGTAATCTCATTTGGAACCAGGAGTGAAACAGTTCAAAACACAAACATAGTCCCTTCTAGAACTAAGATCACTTCTGTCCTCTGAAAGTTAGTCACACTGCTTTTGCAGGCCACTTAATTCACTGTAATTACTAATGTCTTTATGTACTGGTGGGCATGACACAAGAACTTTAACTAAACAAAAACTCTTCCATTTTCCACTCTCTATCTCTGTCTGGGTGGCTGATGTTAAGAACGACCAGTGCTGGACGGAACGCCCAAATCCTGTATCATTACCTTGTTCCACATTCTTTCCAGGGAGAAACAGACAAGTTGCAAAGTACAACTGGGGCTACTTTTGTGCCATCTCATTCTCTAATTTGTTTCACAAAGCTCAGTGCACACTTAGTTTCCTGCTAAATTACAATGCTGCTTTGGTTAAGGAAAGTCTGTCATTTCTTACCTTAAACTGCAGCACTGTGTGTATTTAAGTAAACAGACAACTTGATCTTCTTATACCAAAGATGCTGAATTCACATATAAATGGGAGATATATATACTGAGTAGAAAACCATTAGGAAAAGCAGAAATTCTTCTTAAAGTAAGAAGAATGAATTTAGTAAATGATTCAGGTCAAGGAGAATATTTACAATATTTAATTATCATATGGGATGGGGACCATCCAATCAGAATGGAGGCCTGGACAATAAGAATGGAAGTTCCCTTTAAATAATCAGTACAATTATCCCCCTACACACCAGCACACGGGACACATAATTCTTTGCAATGCCACCCGTAATGATCTTTCGTTTCATTCATAGGTAATCACACAGAACTGGCCTTCAGATGCCCATCAATAATTTTACAAATAAACAGTCACAGATGCTAAATATCTACAGATGGGGGGAAATTATCAATAAAGGAATCCAGGAATGTCAGAACAATCAGGATTCTGTTGGTTCATAAGCTCACTGCCCATGCCTATGGTAGTATCTGGAGGAGAGAGGGGATGAGTTCGCTAAGTTCACTCTGTGAATGTTTTTTCCATAAAGGACACCAAATGTAAACATTTCTAGATCTACGAATCTTGTATGCAGTATGACTACAGTGCAGGGGATCTAGCAGATGAAACACTGACTTCCTGTTAACCACTCAGGGAAATTAAGCTGTTTGTTCAACCCACAAGAAAACCTGCTGCTCTTGAGATTTATGGAACCATGAAAATTGGCAAAATTAACAATTCTAAATACCTGCATCAAAGATTCTAAAATTACCAGAAGAGACAAGGAGCCCAGACAACTCTCCTTTACCTTTCTTGACCTCCAGGCCAGCTCCCAGGGTGGCTGTGGTGGTGGGCCTGAGCTCTGAGCTGCTCTGAGGGGTCACACTTGCTTTTGCTGTGTTGGCTTTCCCTTTCTTGTCATTCTTTGATGTGTCACTGGGCACGTCGGCGATGTCACTCTGGAACAGAAATGTTTATACTGACCCAAATGAATGCCACCTCAAGTTCAAATGTCTTGCACATTCTTCCTTTTACTGAATCCAGTCTGTACCATCAACTTTTCCCCTTCTGCATCCTAACCTCTACTCCTTAAATAGATCTTTGCTTGGCAGGAGTAAACACATGGTTTCCTCAAGCTTGAAACAAATGATGAAGCCTAGGAAAGCAGATGTAGCTCCTTTACAAGCAGGGTATACCTTCTTTTTTTCCAGCTACTGGAGAGATTTCCGTTTCCAATTCTAAACTGAGGAGTAAGGGAAGTTTTAAAAACAAAGAAGCAAACACCACAACTGTGCACTGAAATTGAAGGTTGGATGCAAGACTAGTAAAAAATAAACAATAGTAAACGCCAATTTCACTAATATACTGAATAAGGTTAGCTGGTATTTCAGTGTCTCACAAAAGCACCCTATATTCTAAATGTTCCTAAAAGCATCATGAATGTTTTCCATTTCATTTCTAATGGGGCCAGGATCCCCAGATGTGAGTGAAGCCACAGTGAGGAAGTGGGTCACATTTTATTAAATATGTTACGTCCTCATAGACCTTTGAAACTCTTTTGTTGAACTGATAAGTTCAGTTTCAAAAACCACTTTTGAACTTGTTCTATTAATTTATTACTTTGTCTTGGTCTTGTAATCACTGTTAGACAACCAAATTTCCCCAACTCGGCTGTCTTTAATTGACCATTGCTACTTACGGTTTCAATGCCCATAGCTCTCATTTGGTCTGCTCTCTTTTCCGTAATGGAAAGAAATTTCTTTGGATCTGATAAAGCATCCACAATATCTGGGGGAAAATAATATCACTGAGCTGAGAATTCTCTGTTTTACTGAAAACATCTATGAAAATTCAGCTAACAAACTGTTTATAATCTCTGACCCCTGTGATGCCTTCTGTTAAGTACCTTCTCCTAGGACATAAGACAAGGTTAGAAAAGCACAATTAGTTGCTGAAAACAAGAAATAAGTAAAGGCAAGAATAAAATGCCAGATGATTTTCTTTTAGTTTCCCTTTATTTTTTTTCCCCAAATGAAAAAGATGGGGAGGCAGGTCAAGCTAAGTGAATTGCCTTGGGGTCTCTCTACTTGTGTGACTTTGAACAAGTTGATCAATATTTCCAGCCTCAGTTTCTTCATAGGAAAATTAGAACTAATACCACCCACCCTGCAGAGGCACTATGAGCATTCAATGAAAAAGTACCTGGAGCACAGTAGACGCCACCAGCACTAGCCTTATTTTTAGATACAGAAGGAAAATGTATATTTAAAGCTAATTTTGGTACTATGTAGATAAAGTGAGTGCAAGTTATAGCTGAGAAAACACTGGAGAAATATTTCAAGATTTCATCGTTTAGAGAATTCCCTGGCAGTCCAGTGGTTAGGACTTGGTGCTTTCACTGTGGTGGCCCAGGTTCAATCCCTGGTCAGGGAACTAAGATCCCAGGAGCCTCCCGGTGTGGCCAAAAAAAAAAAAAAAATCGTCTTTTACATAACATCAGTTGAAGAGCTCCAAGTACTTTCAAACAGAATTTAATACAATTTTGTATAATTTATCAATATTATAGAAGGAATCATTATTGTCATATCCTTAAAGCAGTACATAATTTACAACTCGTAAAAGTTGTATGTTTTTAAATTTACCCCAGCAGAATCACCTTCCTAATTACATTGATATGATTTTTAAATTTTTTCTTAATTTTTTTCTTTTATAATAGAAAATAATATATACACATGATAAACATTCAAATGTATAAAATGAAAAGTAAACATCTCCTCTCCTGCCCATCCCAGACAAAACTCAACACCCATTTATAATAAAAGCTCTCCAGAAAGTGGGCATAGAGGGAACCTACCTCAACATAAAAAAGGCCAAATACCACAAACCCACAGCAAACATCATTCTCAATGGTGAAAAACTGAAAGCATTTCCTCTAAGATCAGGAACAAGACAAGGGTGTCCACTCTCATCACTATTACTCAACACAGTTTTGGAAGTCCTAGGCATGGCAATCAGAGAAGAAAAAGAAATAAAAGAAATCCAAATTGGAAAAGAAGTAAAACTGTCACTGTTTGCAGATGACACGACACTATACATAGAGAACCCTAAAGATGCCACCAGAAAACTACTAGAGCTAATCAATGAATTTGGTAAAGTTGCAGGATACAAAATTAATGCACAGAAATCTCTTGCATTCCTATACACTAATGATGAAAAATCTGAAAGAGAAATTAAGGAAACATTCTCATTTACTACTGCAACAAAAAGAATAAAATACCTAGGAATAAACCTACCTAAGGAAACAAAAGACCTGTATGCAGAAAACTATAAAACACTGATGAAATAAATTAAAGATGATACAAATAGATGGAGAGATATAGCATGTTTTTGGATTGGAAGAATCAACATTGTGAAAATGACTATACTACCCAAAGCAATCTACAAATTCAATGCAATCCCTATCAAACTACCAATGGCATTTTTTACAGACTAGAACAAAAAAATCTTAAAATTTGTATGGAGACACAAAAGGCTCTGAATAGCCAAAGAAGTCTTGAGGGAAAATAATGGAGCCAGAGGAATCAGACTCCCTGACTTCAGACTATATTACAAAGCTACAGTAATCAAGACAATATGGTACTGGCACAAAAACAGAAATATAGATAATTGGAACAGGATAGAAAGCCCAGAGATAAACCCATGCACCTATTGTCAACTAATCTGTGACAAAGGAGGCAAGGATGTTAAATGGAGAAAAGACAGTCTCTTCAATAAGTGGTACTGGGAAAACTGGACAGCTACATGTAAAAGAATGAAATTAGAACATTCCCTAACACTATACACAAAAATAAACTCAAAATGCATTAGATATCTAAATGTAAGACTGGACACTATAAAACTCTTAGAGGAAAACATAGGAAGAACACTCTTTGACATAAATCACAGCAAGGTTTTTTTGATCCACCTCCTAGAGTACTGGAAATAAAAACAAAAATAAACAAATGGGACCTAATGAAACTTAAAAGCTTTTGCACAGCAAAGACAATCATAAACAAGCCCAAAAGACAACCCTCAGAATGGGAGAAAATATTTGCAAACGAATCAACGGACAAAGGATTAATCTCCAAAATATATAAACAGCTCATGCAGCTCAATATTAAAAAAGTAAACAACCCAATCCATAAATGGGCAGAAGACCTAAATAGGCATTTCTCCAAAGAAGACATACAGATGGCCAAGAAGCACATGAAAAGCTGCTCAACATCACTAATTATTAGAGAAATGCAAATCAAAGCTACAATGAGGTATCACCTCACAGCAGTTAGAATGGGCATCATGAGAAAATCTACAAACAACAAATGCTGGAGAGGGTGTGGAGGAAAGGGAACCCTCTTTCACTGTTGGTGGGACTGTAAATTGATACAGCCACTATGGAGAACAGTATGGAGGTTCCTTAAAAAACTAAAAATAGAATTACCTTATGACCCAGCAATCCCACTACTGGGCATATACCCAGAGAAAACCATAATTCAAAAAGACACATGTACCCCAATGTTCATTGCAGCACCATTTTCAATAGCCAGGTCATGGAAGCAACCTAAATGGCCATCGACAGATGACTGGATAAAGAAGATGTGGTACATATATACAATGTGATACAATGTGGTACATATATACAATATACATATATTACTCAGTGATAAAAAGGAACGAAATTGGGTCATTTGTAGAGACGTGGATGAATCTAGAGACTGTCATACAGAGTGAAGTAAGTCAGAAAGAGAAAAAGAAATATCATATATTAACGCATATATGTGGAACCCAGAAAAATGGTACAAATGAACCAGTTTGCAGGGCAGAAATTGAGACACAGGCGTAGAGAACAAACGTATGGACACCAAGGGGAGAAAGCGGCAGGGGGTGGGGATGGTAGTGTGATGAACTGGGAGATTGGGATTGACATATATACACTAATATGTATAAAATGGATAACTAATAAGAACATGCTGTATAAAAAATAAATAAAATTAAATTTTAAAAAAGTAACACGATCATCTCAATAGATGCAGAAAAAACTTTTCACAAAATTCAACATCCATTTATGATTATAAACCTTCAACAAACTGGGTATAGAGGGAACATACCTCAACATAATAAAGTCCTTATATGACAAGCCCACAGCTGGCATCATACTCAATAGTGAAAAGCTGAAAACATTTCCTCTCAGATCAGGAACAAGACAAGGATGCCCACTCTTGCCACTTTTATTCAAAACAATATGGGAAGTCCTAGCCACAGCAATCAGACAGGAAGAAGAAATAAAAGGAATCAAAATTGCAAAGGAAGAAGTAAAATTGTCACTGTTTACAGACGACACGATACTATACATGGAAAAGTCTAAAGATGCCACCAAAAAACACCAGAACTCATTAATGAATTCAGTAACATTGCAGGATACAAAGTTAATATACATAAATCTGTTGCTTTTCTGTACACTAACAACAAACTATCAGAAAGAGAAAGCAGGAAAACAATCTATTTACAATCACATCAAAAATAATAAAATACCTAGAAATAAACCTAAATAAGGAGGTAAAAGACCTATACTTGGAAAAGTAAAGACACTGATGAAAGAAATTGAAGATGACACAAACAGCTGGAAAGATATACTGTGTTCCTGATTGGAAGAATTAATATTGGTAAAATTGACCATACTACCCAAGGCAATCTACAGATTCAATGTAATTCTTATCAAATACCAATAACATTCTTCACAGAATTAGAACAAATAATTCTAAAATTCATATGGAGACACAAAAGACCCCAAATAGTCAAAACAATCTTGAAGAATTAAAGCTGGAGGTATCACACTCCCTGATTTCAAACTATACTAAAAGCGACAGTAATCAAAATAGTATGGTACTGGCACCAAAACAGATACATAGATCAATGGAACAGAATAGAGAGCCTAGAAACGAGCCCACACTTATATGGGCAATTAATCTATGACAAAAGAGGCAAGAATATACAATGGGGAAAAGACAGACTCTTCAATAAATGGTATTGGGAAAACTGGACAGCTACATGCAGAAGAATGAAACTAGATTACTCTCTCACATTATGCACAAAAATAAATTCAAAATGGATTAAAGACTTAAATGTAAGACCTGAAACCAAAAAACTTCTAGAAGAAAACATAGGCAGTAAGCTCTTTGACATCAGTCTTAGTAATATTTTTTGGATATGACTCCTTACATAAGGGAAACAAAAGCAAAAATGAACAAATGGGAGTATATCAAACTAAAGACTTTTGCACAGTGAAGGAAACCATCAACAAAACAAAAATACTATCTACTGAGTGGGAGAAGATATTTGCAAATGATAAATCTGACAGGGGATTAATATCCAAAATATACAAAGAACTCATACAACTCAACATCAAAAAAACAAACAACCTGATTTTAAAAAAAGGGCAAAGGATCTGAATAGACAGTTTTCCAAAGAAGACATACAAATGGCCAACAGACACATGAAAAGATGCTCAACATCACAACTCGTCAGGGAAATGCAAATCAAAGCCACAATGACATATCACCTCACACCTGTCAGAGTGGCTATACAAAAGGCACACACTTCTAGTTATAAGATAAATAAGTACCAGGGACGTATGTACAACATGATAAACATAATTAACAGTGCTGTATGTTAAATATAAAAGTTGTTAAGAGAATAAACCCTAAGAGTTCTCATCGCAAAGAAAAGGTTTTTTTCCTATTTCTTTAATTTTG